TGGCCCGACCCGCCCCGCCCCGGCCGACACGCCAATCCCTGTGTACAGTGTACACACCGCCGTTTTTGCTCCAGTCTTATTTATTTGCGCGCGACGACAACGGCTTTCCGCGGCCACCCCGGGCAACGCAAACAGCCACAAACTACCCGTGTGATTTTTGGGGGTGGCCCTGCCCTGCCTGCCCCGCCCTGTCCCCTGCTGCATGTGATTTGGGCGTGTACCCCCGTGAAATCAGAGTCGGCGCTAAGCAAGCACGGCACGGCGCGGCACGGCATGGCACGGCACGGTACGGGGACTGCCTGCGCGTATTGACAAGGCAAACACGGCCGTGGAACCTCAACAAAACTCATCACGGAAAAGTCTTTGGAGACCTCCGTGATGTGGCTCACCCCCACCGCCCCGGCCCCGCCCCGCCCCGCCCCGCCCCGCCCCGCCCCGCCCCACCTCGCCCCGCCCCGCCCCGCGGAGGGCTGCGCCTCTCTGCCAGCGCGCCGGCCGCGCATTTCCATAAACACAGGTGAATGCTGCTGCTGTGCCTGGCGCTGCCCGGCGCTGCCCGGCGCTGCCCGGCGCTGCCACACTGTAAATGCGCGCCAAACTGGACGCGGCTGCGCGGCTACGCGGCCGCATTAGCACCGACAGAAGCCGTTTCGTCTGGCGCCCCGTTTCGCGCCTCGCTTCCCCGCCACTAGAAAAAAAGGAGGAAAACAGCGGCAGCAAAAACAAAAGGGCTGCCAAGTTGCAGGGCAAGTTGCAGCGCTGAAGAAGTCCTGACAAGTCGCAGTATTTCGCGCCGGGAGAGGCAGGATGCGGCAGGATGCGGCAGGATGCCAGGGAGCGGCAACTTGGCGATCTCTGAGAGCTGCCTGCCTGCCTGCCTGCCTGCCTGCCTGGCCGAGGTGAGGCCGCCCATCACCCGACTTGTGCCCAGCCTGGCTGGCTGCCTGCCTGCCTGCCTGCCTGCCTCGCCCCCATTACCGTGAAACAAGATCCAGCCGGCTCATTTGGCAACTTAATTGCGCCATTGACTGGATTGGACGGGCGAGTTCCCAAAGCCCTCCAGAGCTAGCTAGCGCTGCATGTGTATCGCCTGTGCCCAGGCATGCCCGCAGACCGCGCGCCGAGACTCCCGCAGTCTCTGCCGGAGGAACCCCACTGGAGGATTCGCCCGCGGGGGCTGGAACTGGAGGAGGGGGGGGGGGGGCACCTGCCGCCCCACTGTAGTCTGATTCCGAACAGCGCTCCGCACCGCCCTGCGGGACGCTCTATGAGTGCGAGGGAGACAGCGACAGCGCGTTGAGTGCGCGCACTTGAAATTCGGGCAGAAAAACAACACTCTTTGCTCGCCGATTAGATTGGCAACGGCTCATCGTCAGAAGTCCAGGAACGGTGAACCATCGTTGGTACAGTGTCCCACGTTGCCTGAAACAGAAATCGAATACATTTTTAAACCAGCAGCGAAACGAACAACAAGTCCTGAACGAAAACACGACCGCGAGGTTACAGAAACATTTCTCTGGGGTGGCAAACAAACGGAAGCTAGCACACTGCACGATACGCATGGGGAGCTCCGGGCCAGTACGCACACACAGTCGCGCTCACGCACACACTCTCTCTTTCTCTCTCTCTCTCTCTCTCTCTCTCTCTCTCTCTCTCTCTCTCTCTCTCTCTCTCTCTCTCTCTCTCTCTCTCTCACACACACACACACACCTATAGTAAGTTGAGCTCCATCTTGGTCTTGGTGCAGCTGCGCGGTGCTGCGCGGGTAAAGCCATGTGCCTAATGCACTAATTTATGTCGGCCGGGCCGTGTACAGTGTACGCAGCGATAAATGCAGCGCCAGGCTCGTTGGTTCTTTTCGCCGCAGCGATTCTTGCTCGAGACAGCCACCGCCCCACAGTGGGCCAGAAGACCGGTGGAGGCGGCTAAAACTCTGGACGCATTAGCTCGTCGCTGAACAGGACTCGAACGGAGCGTGTGACCCCACCGATGGATTGGATTCCTCGTTCGAAGAGCAATCCATTGGTGGGGTCACACGTTCGGTTCGAGCCCTGTTTGGCGTTTCTGGGGCTAAGAAAGCGTCCGGTTTTTGGCCGCCTCCACCGGTCTTCTGGCCCACTGTGCTCCCCCGTCCATAACTCCCGTCACCCTTTCTCTGCGTAATCACCACGAAGTCATCTAATTAGTGCGGAAGCGACACCGACTTCGCCTCATTGCTCCCTATGACTTGTTCTTTCTTTTCACCCTCCGCGCGCGGATCCCCCTTTTTGGTGCCTCTAAACGCTGGCGCCTTTTGGGGGCTCCTCGCGACGCAACGCGACGCGTGCGCCGTGAATCTCGAATCGCGCGCCGAAACAAAAGAGCGGGAGGAACGGCAATGGCGGCCATTAGAACCCAGGCAAATCCTTTTAGGCAAACGCATCGATTTTTTAATTTTTTTTTGCGCGTGGTGCTTAAAGTAAAGTATTGAACCGAGCGTTGTCATCCCATTTCCCCTTCGTTAGGTCTCGCAGTGTCGTGGCACTCCGTGTCTCGAAGCATCGTTCGTTCCGACAAGGTAATCTCGAGTGTGTGTGCTACTGTTCCACGCAAAGGGTGTTCCTACCCCGGTGGCGCTTTAGGTCCAATCCAAATCATTAGATGCACGGGCATCCATCTTCAAGAAGTGGCTTGTGGTGTGCGTGGCGGAGGGGGAGGGGGCTCCATGTGTAGTTGTTGCTGCCTGCCTCGCCTGCCTCGCCTGCTTCGGCGGTTTGTGGGGAGGGGGCAGCGTACGGCGGCGCGGTGGAATGAGTTGTGTGTGGCGGCGCGGCCAAGGCACTGCCAAGGCACGGCGGCATGGCCTGGCTGTTGCCTCGGCCGTCAAGGGTTCTGTGCGGAGAGAGGGAGTGAGGCCCGGCCCGGCCCGGGGTACATATTCAAACGAAATATGTATGAATTTCGGCTTGCGGCTTCATGCATTATTCGACCGTCAAAGAACTGACGCATTACTGCAAATTCCGAGTCAAATAGTTTGCGCGCCGGGGCCCTGCAGGGTACCGCTGCTTGCTTGGCTTGCCTGTGATTGGGCGCGCGGCTTCGGCCTGCCTTGCCTGCAGCGCGGCCGGCCCGGCTCGTCAGGGCACGACTCGCCGAGGGGTGCTCGTCCCTTTATTTTTATTTTCTGGAAGAGGGCGCGCCAAGACGACACCGAGGGCCCCGTTGAAGTGCACAGATCCGTGGGGCGGGGATGCAAGGAAAGACGTTTGGGGGCAACACCACCGTGAGGCGGCGCCCCTTCCCCCTCCCCTCGCGTTATAAAGGAGCCAGGGGGTTCATTATGAATGGGCCGGTCCCGCCTGCACACTGTGCGCGCCGCGACACGGCACTGGAGGGGCACCGTCAGCACCGTCAGCACCGCCGCCAAAAGTGGAGCGGCGACGGGAGTCGAACCAGGGGCACCACGGGCTGGAGGCGGCCTGCAGCTACCTGGACACTAGCATATAGAGAATGTTTCTTTACGGTCTTCCTGGGACATCCCACAGCCTCACTGAACAAAATATTTTGAAGCATTTTGAGCACTACCTTGTTATTTGAAGAATCACTACGTTATTAACTTTGCACTTTCCCTTGCTACCTTATATGCTGCTTAAAATACTTCGTAAAAACATGTAATAGTTCCTTTTAAGAGTGTAGGCGGCGCCAGCTCCACCACCGAGGTCCTCCCCCCTCTTTTCCCCGAAGCCAACCGCGGCACCCTTAATCACCAAAGAAAGAGACGAGACTTTGCATGGCCACGCCAAAAGTATTAGCATAGTGTCTTGCCTGCATTAGCACTCCATTTACAGATTTGGGCTTTTTGCCGGTGAGGCCGGCAGCGGCGCCGCCTGGTGGTCGGGGCGGGGTGGGGAGGGCGGGGCGGGGCAGTGACGCGATGCAGCCCGCCCCGCAGTGGGCCGGAAGACCGGTGGAGGCGGCCAAAATTCCAGACGTGTTTTGAGAATCAGAGTCGCTAAATGGGGCTCGAACCGAACATGTGACCCCACCAATGAATAGCTCCCCACACGAGGAACCCATTGGTGGGGTCACACGTTCGGTTCGAGTCCTGTTTAGCAACTCTGGAACGCGTTTCGAGTTTTGGCCGCCTCCACCGGTCTTCTGGCCCACTGTGCGCCCGCAGCATGGCCGTGCGGCACAGCGTTGTGAAGCGAGCCGTGCGTGTAATTAACCTAAATAATGCACGAGGCGCGGCCAACTTCACCGACAATTACAGCAGTGTAGGCGCGCCCATTGTGGTGGCGGCGGTGCCGGCGGAGTCGCCGGCGGTGCCGGCGGAGTCGCCGCGGAGAATTTACTGTCGCAGTTCGGACTTCAGGACGCGCGGCAAGACTCAACACAACGGTATTCTTGGCAGCCGTGGCTGGTGGGGATGGACTTTGAGCAGCAGGTCGGCTGTGACTGAGGCCCTGGAGGGGCCTTTTCAAGGGAGATCTGCAAAGAGTTGTCTTGCTGATTATCATATCTCTCGTGAAGAGATGCAGGCGCGGCCGGTGACATCATTTCTTGAGTTTTCATGTGAAGACATCTCAAGTACACAATTCAAGTTAAGTGGGTGTCTCTCGGGATCTTGTCTTGCCAGTGACTCACAGTTGTTTCGTTCAAATAAAAGAGCAAACTTTGGTCCCGGTGGATAAGGACCTTATTTGGTCGACCCAGCCAAAGGTGTCGCTTCTTACCGACCGTTACAAATGCCCCTTCCACAGGGCCGGGGGAAGCGCGGGGGCTGTTGCGGGAGGACTTTCGTGGTGGAGGGGGCAGTTTTACTGGTCGCAAGAAGCGAGATCTTTGCCTGGGTCGACTAAAGGGACGAAATGAAAAGCAAGATTTTAAATTTGAAGGAAGCAAAATTTGAAGTGTTAGCTAAGAAATCAATATTGGGGTAAAGCCTGTTCCGACTGATTCAGCCAGTATCTCGAGAGCCTGCATTATCAACGCACTCAAGATCGAATGACGCTGTCCGTGACACTCAGTGCAGACGACCTGGGGTACTCAGTGGTGGCCCTTAAAAAGGCCCACCACCGAGCTCCTGGTCAACAGTCACACCCAAGCTGCTCCTCCGCGACAGGGTCCACCAGCCATGGCTTTCAAGTGCGCTGTGCTCGCGCTGGCCGCTGCCGCCTGCCTCGTAAGTCACTCCAAGTCTTTGTTTTGGAAGCGGTTCTCAGACATCGGACCAAGTCGTCCCTAGAGGTTTTCCAAGGGGAAATAACTCCAGCCAAATTCGTACACCAAAATTCATCAAACAAGTAAAATTCACTAAAATTCATTGAAATTCATCAAAATTTTAAAATTCATCGCATTTCTTCTCAAAATTCAGCAGTTTTTGCCTGACATTGATCGAAATTCGACTGAAATTCATTGGATTTGGACACTGAAATTCAGTGATTTCCCCTTGAGGTTTTCCAAGACGTAAGTTACTGGGACCTTACGACACCAGTCTTTGCTCCCCTGACAATCTATTTGCTTCGCAGTTGTCCACTGTCTCGGCGAGTCCAGTGGCGGAGCAAGTCCGGTTGCCCTGCAGCCAACAGGTCCTCGACTGGCTTGACGGCAAGGTCCAGACCTGCTGCAGCGATTTGCCGTCCTTCGTATTCCCCGAGACCAAGAAGCTGTGTGGCTGGCAAGTCACCACCCTGGCGGCGGAAAAACCCGCGTGCTCTCTGGACGACGTTCCCCGAAATCTGAAGACCTGCCTCAGCATCTTCAGCGACATCATCTCTGACAAACAGAGCACGACTGCTGTGAACTGCATCAAGGACGCCATCAAAGCAGGGATTTGAAGTCGTCCGAGTTCAACTAATGTGAATTAATGCCATGAGCAAATAAACACCCTAGAAATGATTTCCGACGTTGCATTTACAACTGCGACCGAATCTCCCGGTGTACCGTCCTTCCAGCGCGCTCCAGCGCCAGCCTCCGTTTCTCCAGCAGTCGGGGCGAGTTCCATTTTGCCGTGGAGCTGCGAACACGAGAAGGGGCACCGCCCCCTTCCTGCCGAACTGCGAACTGGCCCTAACGCACACTGGCACTTGCTAACTCCTTTTCTCTTTCTCTCGCGCGCCTGCCCGTCCCGCCCCGCCCCGCCCCGCCCCGCCCCGCCCCGCCCCGCCCCGCCCCGTCTTCCCTGATCATAGCCCCACGAGTTCCTCAGAATCCCGCACCGCACTTTCTTGCCCTCCGTTTCCGGTCATCAGGCTTCGGGGCTCCGCGTTGCGAGCGGGGCGGGGCGGGGCGGGGCGGGGCGGGGCGGGGCGTACAGGCGAGCAGCTCTCTCGGGCGGGCGGACGAACACCACGCGCGGCCCGGCGTCCAATTTTCCGTACTGCGTCTATTCAACCCCGGCGTGCCCTAATCACTCCCCTGCCCCCTGCTTCGCCTGCTCCGCTACACTGCAAGGCCCCCACTGCTTCCCCAGCAACTCAATGAATCGGGTCCGGAGGCCCAACGGGAGGCCCCATCTGGCCTCCGGAAACTCTGAATGCAGCCCCTATTTGGCGCCCTTTTTTAAAATCTCCGCTTCCTCCTCTGCGTCCGTCTTCCCCCAACCTCGGCTCCCCGCACTGCCCCCTCCTCGTACTCGGTCACCGTCCCGCAAGGGGCCGTAGCACAGTGGGCCAGATGACCGGTGGAGGCGGTCAAACTCCCGGACGCGTTTTGAGCTCCAGAGTCGGTACATGGGACTCGGACCGAACGTGTGACCCCACCAATGGATTGCTCTCCGGACGAGGAGTCCATTGGTGCGGTCACACGTTCCGTTCGAGTCCTGTTTGGCGACTCTGGAGCTCAAAAACGCGTCTAGAGTTTCGGCCGCCTCTACCGGTCTTCTGGCCCACTGTGCGTAGGGACCATGGGGACCGAGGGCCCCGGCAAGACGCTCGGCTTAGCTTCGGCCCATTTTTAATCCAGATTAATCCCCAGGCGTTACTCACGGCCCCTCGGCCCTCCGACCCCTCGCCTCCGACCCCTTGGCCCTCTGCGGGCGGACTGATTTCCAAGAGTCGTTTCGTCGCTCTGTCTCTGTCGCACTCGCGGGCGCCCCGCTGCAACGCGTTGCGGTGCGAGGGAGACGGAGTGACTCGGCCCTCGCGGCCCTCCACCCAGTCACCTCATCGGCGCCCCACTGCTAAATGAAGGGGAAGGAGCAGCAGGCCGTCGCTCTGTCTCTCTCGCACCTGTGCGGGACGCCCCCCTGAGTGCGAGAGAGAGAGAGAGAGAGAGAGAGAGAGAGAGAGAGAGAGAGAGAGAGAGAGAGAGAGAGAGAGAGAGAGAGAGAGAGAGCGATGCCGAGTCCGTCTCCAGGCGGGCCCCTCGCGACGCCTGGCCCTCGGCCGGGCCCCACCCCTGCACCGCGCCCTCGACGACCGTCGACGCCTTCCAAGCGTGTGGAGTTTTCATTCGGCGCGTTATTCTGATAACCTGATTACGGTGTAGGCCTAATGAAATTAAGGCGCCAGTTCAAAATGGACTCGCAGCTTGAGACGCGGGGCGCGCGAGGGTCGGGCATCCGGGCCGAGCCGAGCCAGCCGCTCACACGGACTCGGACACACAGAGGAACGCGGAGAGCAGATCTCGTCGGGAAAGACTGTCGGAATCAGTCTGCAGGTCAGGGGAAGGTCAGGGGAAGGCGCGCAGCCCAGCAAGTGAAGCGTTTAAACTAAACCAAATTACCCGCCTTAAAATGGCGCCGGGGCGCCGGCCGTACGGACGTCCCTCGGCGAATCATTGGGACTCAGTCGGACTCAGTGTGTGCGGGCCGACGCCGCAAAGGCAGCCTCCGCGCACCCCACGGCCTGCACGTCGGGAGTCGAGTCGTGTCGGGGAGGGCGGAGGGGCCAAGCAAAACGTTTGGCGCGGCGCCGCAGCGCGCGCAGCGCCTGCAGACTCATTCCGCGAGTCCACTTATTCTTCACGCCGTTCGTCCACGCACCCTTTTACTGAATTCTGGAAGGGCAGGTTGAGATTCTGCAGTCCTCACATCACGCACCATGGTGCTTTGGATTCGATTCCGTTTTGAGCAGCGTGCGGAGCCCTATACACGTGCCCGGGGAGTTGACGGCGGCCCGGCTGGAGTCGGACGGCGGCGGGCCCCGTGCGGGTAGGCCGCCCAGCGCGCTCGCGTGCTCGACGGCACAGCCTCGCCGAGTTCGCGGGCGCTCCATGCTGGCGCTCCGCAGCCCCCTCCCCACTCCAAACTCCACGCTCGACACAATCGCCGTGTAATAGGCGATTTGGATAACCAGTTTACTGGGACTCGGTGAATGGATTCCTGTGTCCGCCGGGCCGGGCCGGGCCGGCCCCACCCCCACCACGGCCTTGAGCGGATCCATCGGCTAGAAACAAGCAGGCAACGGGGCACACTCACACACCAATGCACCAATGCGGCGTTGGGGAGTTATTGAGGGCTGTATTATCGGGACGCAGATTGAGTCCCAGCACGGGCGCGCGCACACACACACACACACACACACACACGAGGGCGAGCCCTTCACGTCCGCCATAATTGAGACTTAACTGGTGCCGGGGGGAGGAAGGAAGGTGGGCCTTCCAAGAAATGACGTGATTGCATTCTCGGCTCCTCATTGAATTTGTCTCCACCTGACAGTGGCGCTGCGCCGCGCCGCTGAATGGCGGGCATTACGAGCACGTGTGCTCGCGTGCGCGTGTGGAGCGGCGGCCCCAACAATGCAGTCGCTGCGTCGCACCCCCGCCAACCCCCGCACGGCGCGCCCGGGAGTGCGAGAGAGACAGCACTTTCGGGAAGCAGCCCGCGTGGCGTAGGCGCGCGTATGGGTCCCAGTGGCAACGCGCTGCCGCCCCGCCGCGCCCCGCGATCCACAGCGCACAACGCGATAAACGTCTTGATTCGCTTCCGGTGCCGTGGAAGGAGTGGCGCCCTCCAGCAGCCTCCAGCAGCCTCCAGCAGCCTCCAGGAGCGTCGCTTCGAGCCTTCCAGGCTTACAGTGTAGCGGCGCGCGGCACCAGCAGGCGGCGCAAACAAACGTTTAGGAACGGGTCGAGCGAGGAATGCACGGGCGGTGCGTTATGGCGCGCACCACCTCGCCGGGGAGCGTCGTCGGGAGGGAGGTGCATTAGGACGGCCACTTCCAGGCGGTCTTTCCAGACGCTCTCCAGGCACTGCGTCCAGGCAGCAGGCAGCCATCCTAGGCTAGCTCCTGCATACCTGCAAGTTAAAGCCCTTCCAGGCAGCCCTTCCAGGCAGCCCTTCCGGGCAGCCCTTCCAGGCAGCCCTTCCATCGGACCCGCCCTGTTCCTTCTCCCTTCCACTCGCTTAATTCCGCCCCGTATTTTCCGCGTGCGTCGCGCCCGATGTGATGCGCCGCCCCAACCCAACAGGCCCCTTCGCCCGCCCCGCCCCGCCCGCGCCGTCGCCTTCCAGCGTGGTGCGTTTAACACCGTCGGCATTCGGAATTAACAACACCCGTGAGTGCGTTCGCGTTCGTTCGTTCGGGAGGGCCGGAGCCGGAGGGCCGGAGGGGTGCAGGCGGCCGAGACACGGCGGGGAGGGCAGAGAGAAGGCCCTAGCGAAGGGGCGACGCCAGCGGCGGCCAAGCGGGTGTCTCTTTGCCTCAATGTCGACACGGAAAATTCGAACGGACTATTGCCGAAAAATCCTAAAATATCAGATGAGAAAACCGGCGAAAACGGTATCCCCATTTCATGACGGAAGGGTGCGACGGAGGCGGCGGGGGCCTCGCGCCACCGCCTCGCACCGCCTCGCGTCATCGTCCCGGCGGGATGGCCAGTCTTGATTACACATCCCGCCGAGAAAGGAGCGGGGGCGGGGAGGGGGAGGGGCAGCCTGATTCAGAAAGAAACTTGCATCCCCCTCCGCTATTCCTGGGGGAAGAAGGTGGGCGGAAGGGCGGGGCGGACGAGGCGAGTGACTCAGGAAGGGACCTCCTCCCTCCAGCAGCCTCCAGCCCTGCATGGCCTGCAGAGCAAATCCTTACACCCCCGCCGCCTCCTCGGCCGCCGCGTCGCGAGGGACTCCCTCTAACGAACCGGAACAGACCACGCCGCATGCCGCCCCCCGCCCCAGCCCGCCCCAGCCCGCGGGCACGCAGACTCTCTCTCTCTCTGGCACACTCTCACACATACACACACACACACACACACACTCTCTCTCTCACACACACGCACACAGTGCCCGATGTGATTGTCAGCACTTGCTCAAGCTCTCGTCCCAACGGAACTTGCTTGGCGGTGCGATGCGACGCGCAGTTCGCCGGGGTCGAAGTCACCAAGGCAAACGCCTTAAGGACATGTCTGGGGATGTCTTACGGCAAAGGACGAACACACGCTGGTGAAACTGAGGCAGGCGTGAACCTTTTCCGCTTCGAGACTTTGACGCTCTTCTTGAGTGACAGTGGCAGTAGGTTTGAAGAAAAAGCGATGAGTCACTCCTTTGTTTTACCGATGCACTGTACACAAGCGCTTCGAACCGTCCAGCCGATCGAGATTTTGAACCCGTCCAGGCGTGCTGCACTCACGCCCCAAAAATCTCGTCACCTCCAATTCTTTTCAAAGTCGGGGAAAGCATTCACACTGACCCGACAGCCTCCATTCGTTCGTGCCGGTATTCGCAGTCACGGACACCACGCGTCCGAGGGGCCGAGGGGCGACTGGAAGAGGGAAAAAATGCTCCAGCGGATCGACTCGGAGACGCGGAGACTCAGAAGGAAGGGATGTCGTTCGTTCGGGAGGGTGTGACGGGGTGGACTAACTCGATGAGGGAACTTCTCCGACCCTCTTCAAACACGGCGGCCCGGGCGGTTCGTGTCAGCAGACTGATTCCGAGAGTCGTTCTCGTCGCTCTGCCT